TCATTCAGTCAGTCAACAAATATTTATTGACCGTGTCCATGCATGTGTTATGGACTTGGGATACTACACAAGGAAAGTCATATGTTGTCCCCACTTATATGGAATCAAGACTTCAGTGGGCGATATACATATTAATCAAATGATATCCAAAATTAATAAAAATTGCCATTGCAGTAACTGTTCAATGATGTTATACTAGAAAAAGGTTAAGAAAGATGATTGAGTTGAAATCTAAAGGATGTCAACCCAAAAGTAGGAAACTATGATTGAGCTGAGGTTTAAGGATTAACCATATGGGAGTGGTTAGACATTCCAGGAAAGGAGAAGAGCACGTGCAAAGACCCTGGTAGAAGCAAGTTGGAAATTAGTACTTTCTTTTCTATTCTCTGGGAGATTTTGTGTAAAATTGGTGTCATTTTTTCTGTAAATATTTGTAAGAATTCATTGGTGAAGCTTATGGGCCTGGAGTATCTTCGTGAGAGAAATTTTAACTATAGATTCAAAAATAATGGATTTGGGAGTAATGACATTTTTACTTCTTGTATTATTTTTGGTAAATTGTGTTTTCTAAGGAATTTATAAAATTGCTTTTAAATCTGAAAAATTATTGGCATGAAGTAGCTCATATTTTCTTACGATCTTTTTAATTACTGTAAGTTATGTAACTATAATTTTTAATAACTAGGATATGCTGATATGCCCTTTTTTATTCCTGCAATCAATAACTTTTGCCTTCTTTCTTTTTAAGTCCATCTTGCTAAAAGTTTGCCAATTTTCTCAGTCTTTTTCTTTTTAAAAGATTTTATTTATTTATTGAGAGAGAGGGAGAGAGAGCACGTGCAAGTGTGAAGGCAGGTGGGGGGGGGGGGTCAGAGGGAGAGAGAGGATCCCAAGCGGACTCACTGCAGAGCAGGGAGCCCAATGTGGAGCTCACTGTCACGACCCTGAGATCATGACTTGAGCTGAAACCAACAGTTGGATGCTTAACTGACTGAGCTACCCAGGTGCCCCTCAATTTTATTAGTTTTTAAAGGAACTGTTGGTTTTGATGATGTTTTCTATAACATGCTTGTTTTTATTAATATCTGCTCTGTCAATTATCTAGTTCTGTGGACTCCTGTTTCTTTTGCTTTTTGAACATATTTTCCTATCTCTTTGCTCTATTTACTTATTTAAGATTTCATTTATTTGAGAGAGAGAGAGAGCATGCACGAACAGGGGGATCATCAGAGGGAGAGGGAGATAATCTCCAGCAGACTCCATGCTGATCACAGAGCCCCATGTGGGTCTCAATCCCAGGACTCCCAGATCATGACCTGAGCCAAAACCAAGAGTCTGACGCTTAACCGATTGAGCCACTCAGGTGTCCCCCTACTTATTTTTGATTAACAATGTAGATGAAAAGTTGCGGAAATAATTTAGATTTATGGTGACATTATCTTCTTTTGGAGAGAGTTTGTTTCTGACTGGTAGCCAGGTTCACTGGCTGTCCAGATCACACGAAACTAATTTTAAGAATTGAATTGCTGTTAGCATGGGCCTATTTAATTCACCTTTTTCCCTATGCTGCAATCTTTCAAAGTCCCAAACCAAAGCGTGTTGATTAACCAGGAATTTTCCCTCATTGTTCCCCTAAACCTTATAACACAGTCATAAACGTTCCTCAGACTTTTTGCCTCTCATCTGCCTTTTGCAGAATTCATAAATGCCTAGAGCCACAGCAGTCCGCTTGGGACTGTTTTCTCTGGCCTTGCCTTTTTCACCCAAATTATAGACCCTTAATTTTTCTCTGCCTTTTTCTCTCTTTGATGCCTTGAAAAATTGAAAAAAAAAAAAAAATCATCTGTTTTTTCTAAGATGTCATAGTTGGAAAGTTAGCTTGATTTCCTCATCTATCATAAGGAAGTGAAAATTCTGAAGTATATTTTTGTTTATTCAGTTATTTTTTAAAAAATGACCATTTTATTTATAGTGACACGTTATTTGCTGTGCTTTTCATGCCACCAATTATGATCACAGTATTTCTATTTTACAAATATAATAATTTTAATTGAGAAAGTAAGTTCCAAAAGGGTATGGAATTCTGTTCAATGATGTTTAACCTTGAACAGTGCCTATCACTTAGTAGGCTGTCAATATTTTTGCAATTACATGAATGAAAGGAATAGAATCAGATCTTCAGCACTCAAGTGGATGACCATGAAGTCTTTGTTCATTTACTATAGGATGGTTGGCTATCACTTTTCCAAATATATAATTGGATGTAGCTTGAAGACAGTATGTGAGGAATATTTACATGACATGCTATATAGAGCACGCTTTCTTTATTTTGTTTGGACCCCTGGGTGTTCTTTTCATTGTATGACTCAAGTAGCTCCCCTTATCGTGAGAATTTACGTAGGCAATAAACCTTTGAAAGGTGAATCCATACTGTAAACAGAATATTGTATATCCATTCTACAAATATTTAGTTCAAGTCTAAATATATGTATCTAGTTATAATATGGTTCTGGTGTTTATTATCCACTGTTTTTCACTAGGATATTGAGGAATTTCTTAGCTAGGGGTGACTTAATGTCTCAAGCCTGGTTCAGTCTGGATCTTTGCTCTTTGCTTTGATCTGTGCCTTTGACTCACATGTGAGCCTCAGAATTTTATCTTTGTCTGAATACATCTGGTTCATTCCAGCAGTCAGGTACATTGCTGATAAGCTAAAACAGAAAATTCTTTTCTTTATTTAAAATTGCTTCAAAGTTATAAGCCCTGCCAATACATAGCTCAATGTTTATATTTTAACTCCACAGCTATTCCTATGTGCAATACAGGGACTGCTGAAAATTCATACAGCTCTCCTATATCAGTCTCTCTGAATACAAGGGCTCAGCTCAAGTGGGGTGGTTTAAGAGTCCTTCACAGATTTAGGCAAAACACCTAAATGTTGAATGCTACACTTCTCAATAAAGTTTGGTCACAAAAAATATTTTTGAGGACACAAGTGATACCATCATTTATTTTTATTAAGTGTTTTGGATAAGAAAATAACACATTCTTGGGGCACCTAGGTGGCTCAGTCAGTTAAGCAACTGACCCGGTTTTGGCTCAGGTCATGGCTCAGGTCATGATCTCACAGTTGTGGGATTGAGCTCCGGGTCAGGCTCTGTGCTCAGCGTGGAGTCTGCTTCAGATTCTCTCTCCCTCTCCCTCCCACTCTCTCTCTCTTAAATAAATAAATAAGTAAATAAATAAATAAATAAAATCTTAAAAAATAGAAAATAATACATTCTCTAATCCAAAGCCCTTTTTAAAATAGCTGTTTCTTCTATCCCAGTACAATGTCCTTCCTCCAGTTATATTCTCCTGGGTCTAGGACTGGGTTAGCAGATTAGCGGAGGAATTTTTCTAGTCACTGTTTCATTCCCACTTTGAGTTATCCATGCACGAGTAATGTAAGGTGAGACTCGGACTCACGGTATATGATTCCATATTTTGACCCAACTTGGACCCTAAGGACATAAATGCAATGGTTCTGGCTCAGCTATGACATTGGTAACCTGAGCCCAGAAAGCCAGCAATTCTACCTGTTATGAGCGAACCTGTTATGATCATGGGAAAATATCCCATTGTTGTGAAGACTGCCAGCCTGTGTACAAATATTTACAACCTAGTAATATCATTTATCTCATAGTCAGGACTGATGCCAATGTAGAAAACCACTAGGAAAAGTTATGGTGGCAAGACGGTACTCCCAAGAGCAACACTTACATTTGAAGTGGTTTTATGTCTGCTCCCGCTGGTCGAAGACTGGGGCTCTGAGGTACCTGTAGCCTGGATGCTTCATCTCTTGACTTTCACCTCTCTTGATCTGGGGGCAGAAAGGACTAGCTCTATTTAGTCACATGGTGATGTCGGTATCACCTGACCTTTGGCCAAGGCCACTGTGCATATGTGATATGAAGGGAGCAGGGTAAGATAATGGCCCCAAGTCCGGGCTGGAGAACAATGCCAGGTTCAAACCTTGCCTCTCCTCATTCAAGTTTTGGGAGCAAGTTACCTAACCTTCTCATTAGTAAATGGATGTGATAATAGTACTTGACTCTTGGAGGTGTTGAGAGAATTAAATGAAATAATCCATAATAAGCACTGAGCAGGGTGACTGGCCCAGAATGAGCTCTTAGTATACATTAGTATTATTTATATAGAAACTTCTTCTCTTTATAAAACTGAAGATTTATTTTAAAGGGCTTAAACTCAGAGTTGTTGTATCAACTAAGAACCTGCTTAATTTGGACTTAAGGTTTTTTTTTTTTTTAGATGAAAATCTTTGCTGTGGCCAAAGATCGTGTTCTAGTGCTCCTTCTTAGCCATCCCATGAATACGATTTCTGTGCTCTGCTGTAATAGACTGACCGTATTGTCTGCCTACTCTGCCTGCCTGGGATATGTGAACTATGCCAAGCCTCCCTTACCTATGAATACTTCCTCACACTGCTTCCCTGCATTTCTCTCCCACAACATATTTGAGGCGGTTATCACAATACTCATGGACATTTTCCTCTCTTTCTTCTCTTTCAATAAGAATTCTTAATTGTGCAGACTCAGGATTGAGAGTGACCAAGATGCCTGAACGCGCGCGCACGCACACACACACACACACACACACACACGCTCTCATTCATGCTCATATAATTTAGTCTGGTATAGGATTCAATTCATGGAGTCTTTTCCAAAGCATTAAAGACTAAACACTTCTTAAAAATGTAAGATCGACCAAAAATTTTTTTGAAGGTTCAAATAGTACTCTCATTGATCTTTATAAAAATTTTTGGAGACTAAAGGAAACATTATGTGGGGCTTTCTTTTGTCCTAACGGGTGATTCATTGCCTGGTCCTGACACTGCTTTTCCCCATTGGGTCTCTGTGAGAGTCACATGCTTTGGACATCTTTGAAAAGAATCTTCTGAGGCTTCAGCATCTCATTTGAGTCTCCTGAATCTCACCTAGAGCTGTGTTGAATTCTCATCCATCACAATGAGCAACAAATTCCTGGGCACCTGGAAACTTGTCTCCAGTGAGAACTTCGATGATTACATGAAAGCTCTGGGTAAGAAATGTTCCTTGTAGCTCTGGTTGGGAAGATCCTTTTTTGCAAAAGCTGCATGACTATTTCCTTCTAACTCCTTTTCCAGGACTCTGGGGAAGTTTGCAGAGGCTCAAGTACAATCCTTTTCTGCAATTAAACTTCTATTGTGTCATTCCAATAGTTTATTGTACTTCATTTGTGGAAATTTTAATAGATTTTAACCTAAGAGCTGCTTAATTGCGTGGAACTCCACTGATTTCAAAGGTGGTTTCGTATCAGTAGGGCTTTGCTTTAAAGGAAAGAAATCTTAGAGGCTTAGGCAACCCATCCTCTGGCTTTCCTGAAGGTTCGTTTTATAAAAGCTGAAGTGCTCATAAGATAAGGAGTTGAAAATACTGAAGTTAATAGAAAGCCTCAATTTAAAATTTTGGTGTTTAGCTAAACCAGAAGTTTACACTACTTTCCTGGAGTTGGAGCCATGGATGAAGATGGAAAATCCAGTCAATAGTTTTATCTACTTTATTTTATACTATTTCTAGAGAATGTTCCACATTGATATGAGCACAATAGGTATGAAGTGTCTTTGGAGCTGTTTAAGTAGAATAGAAAGTGATGCCAATGACCTAGGTTGCTATGCTTGACAAAGGGCCTGTAACTTTACTTACCTGTTCAGAAAGCTCATGAAAAGAGTTGTATTTTTAGGTAAAATGAGCAAAATCATGTCATATTGCCTAGAAAACTATGAGACCTTATGGGTATAAATCCATACTATGAGGTTGGTTAGATTTATGGACTTGACTTTACAATTGAGGAAGAAGCAAAATACAAGAGCCTCGATGAAGGACTCCCTAATTCTGTCATTTTTCAAATTTAGAATGCGTAAGATCACTTCGGGGTTTGGTATAGTGTAAATTCTCAGGCTCTACTGCAGAGATTATATATAATATATATATTCATATATTTATATGAAAGTAGTTTTTCCTTCATTTATTTCTCTCATTTGACATTTCTCCTTTTCCCTGTATTTCTATAGTTTTAGTAATAAAACTTGAGAGTCTAATTTTGTTTTGTTTTTCAGATGGAGAAAATTTTAAAAAATGAGTTTATTTATGATTACGTGTAATGTACAGATCTTGAAAGGAGATAGATTTTTCCTACCAGTTAAACTTAGGGGCCGAGGCGCCTGGGTGGCTCAGTCGTTGAGTGTCTGCCTTCGGCTGGGGTCGTGGTCCCAGGATCCTGGGGTTGAGGCCCACATCAGGCTCCCTGCTCCACGGGAAGCCTACTTCTCCCTCTCCCGCTCCCCCTGCTTGTGTTCCTTCTCTCACTGTGTCTCTCTTTGTCAAATAAATAAATCTTTAAAATAAATAAATAAATAAATAAATAAATAAACAAACTTAGGGGCCACAACAAAATTTCAGAAATAAGATTCTATTAAGGATGTGGGGAGGAGCGTCTGGGTGGCTCAGTCATTAGGCATCTGCCTTTGGCTCAGGTCATGATCCTGGGGTCCTGGGATCGAACCCCCGCATCGGGCTCCCTGCTCCGCGGGAAGCCTGCTTCTCCCTCTCCCACTCCCCCTGCTTGTGTTCCCTCTCTCGCTGTGTCTCTCTCTGTCAAATAAATAAAATCTTTAAAAAAAAAAAAAAAGGATGTGGGGAGAGTTCTTTTCTATATCCATAATGTATTACTGAGGAGAAAAAATTCATAGAACAGTATGTATCTGTCATAGTTGCATTTTAAAAATACCTAGAATATTTATATGTAAAAACTAAAATGTCTGGAATGATTCATACAGAACACTGGTGATTTTCAAAGACTGTGGGATTGGGATGTGGTAAAAGGGGATGACTTGCACTATTTAGGCTAAACACGTTTATCTTTAAAATCTGCAGACATTACTCTTGTAATAATAAAACTTAAAATATTTAAGTCGATGGACATGTATTTCCATTAGGTGGTGAAACATGGGAGGAGGCCCTCAGTACTCACTGATGCTACCCGCCATTTCCACACTTGAGCATAGAATGCGGCCATGCATAGTCTCTCTAGGTACATCTCTTTGTCGACGTAATTCTAACACTATCTTGATTTACAGGTGTGGGGTTAGCCACCAGAAAACTGGGAAATTTGGCCAAACCCCGTGTGATCATCAGCAAGAAAGGGGATGTTATAACTATAAGAACTGAAAGTACATTTAAAAATACAGAGATCTCCTTTAAGTTAGGTCAGGAATTTGAAGAAACCACAGCTGACAGCAGGAAAACAAAGGTAAATTTTAATGTTTCTCTTCAAAGTTGGCTCCTTCTCCAGCTTGAGAGGATTATTTCTGTTAGTGTTCATAAAGGTAGACTACCCCCATTCTATTGAAAATTGGGGCACCTGGGTGGCTCAGTCGGTTAAGTGTCTGCCTTGGGCTCAGGTCATGATCCCAGAGTCCTGGGGCTGAGTTCCACATCGGGCTCCCGGCTCAGCAGGGAGTCTGCTTCTCCCTCTGCCTGCCGCTCCCCTGCTTGTGTGCTCTCTCTCTCAAATAAATAAAATCTTAAAAAAAAAAGAAAAGAAAAGAAAAGAAAATGAATGTGCCTTGAGGGAGCCTTGCTTGATCTCAGGATTGTGAGTTCGAGCCCCATGTTGGGTGTGGAGTCTACTTTAAAAATAAATAAATAAAATGAAATGAAATAAAATAGAAAATGAATGTGCTTCATGAGACAGCTATTATGAAAACAATTCGATACTGAATGAACCGCTTCCTTAATCAACCAAAGTCCAAGCAACTCGATTATGTGAATTTGTCTCTGCAGAGCATTGTAACCTTGTCAAGAGGCTCATTAAATCAAGTGCAGAAATGGGATGGCAAGGAGACGACAATAAAAAGAAAGTTGGTGGATGGGAAAATGGTAGAGGTAAGAGTATTTTCACTTCTAAATACAAAAATAATGGTATTTAAATAGAGAAATTGGTTATATTATTTTCAAAATATTCCTTTTTCTTTGCAATACCAATGGATAAGAATGGCTAAGGATAAAGTCAGAGCTAATGGTTAGATGATATTTCAACCATGAAGACTCATCTACAGTACTTTAAGTATAGGTCCAAGATTTTAGAAATAACAAAGCCCATTTGTTATTTTAGAAATAACAACACCTAAAAATAACAGCAAAGTCAAAGAAAGTATGGATAAATCTTACCAATTTGGACTCACAAAGAGAAAAGCAAGTCTAAGTTTTAAAAGCAAAACAAACCCCGAACGGCTCAATTATAGAATATTTGTAGATATCTAAGTGTTTTGCTTTCAAGAATCCGAAGTAACTTGGACTACACCATGTCAATAATTGAAGCTCAGCTCATAGGAGACCTTTTAGTCAGCAGATAAAGAATGATGAGCAGGGTTCCATGAGATGCCGTCTAACGATTTTTTTTTAAGTTTTAGCTTCTGTGCTTACTAATACATACATTGAATATAGATTCATGTTATTTTAAATGTTTTTTCCTTTAGTTTAGAGGTTCTTATCCCTAGCTACAAAACAGATTTTCATGGGGAGTTAATACCAATATGGGGCCCCCAACACAGATTAATTAAATGCAAATCTCTTGGGGGAGAAGGAACCATCAGTATTTTTAAATGCTCCTCAGATGCTGCAAATATGCATATAGTTTTGAAATCCACTTTTAGATTTAAATGCACACAAATTATGCATAAAAACTTGCCACTTTAAGAAAATTCTTCCATAGTAACATAGATTGACTTCAAAACTGTTTCTCCTATTTCAATGTCGTAATTCTGAATTGTCAGAGACTGACATACTGATGCTCTACTCCTTTCTAAGCTTAACCTTATGAGCTTGTTTTTATTTTCTGTTGCGATGTGCAAATTTGCTCTTCCTAGTTTGAGTTTTATATACTCAATGAATCTCTCTCTTTTCTTAAGGAATGTAAAATGAAGGGCGTGGTCTGCACCAGAATTTATGAGAAGGTCTGAGAAAATTATTTCCTCATTGAAGTGATATTTGATCATTTGATGTTGGAAATCAACGGTTTTCATTGGCAAGGCCCGACTACTCTGCAATTTATCTGTTTGTTTTTGCTTTTGTCCTAATAGATCAAATAGGTAAAGGCCTAAACTGAGGATTAATCTAAAATTCAGTGTTGTTTAAACATTTTCAATTTGTATGCATTTCCTTACTCTATTAAAGTATGTATATTGGCCAGACCTAAATAGTTGATAATGTCATTTAGTTATCTGTGAAATTCTAACCTATGTTGTACTTTGTATATTGAAATGATAGTAAAGCAAGTAACTGGATAGTAAAAGGAAGTAAATGTATTGATCTGAGTAGCCCCTGCATGGTGGGGAGGAGGATCAGAAGTGAGACAAACTACAAGAAGGAGCTGTTTTAAATCAGAGTTCTATTTCAGCTAAAAGGGCAGCCTCTACTCCAGCCAATTTTTTTTTTAAATTGAAGCGTAATTTATGGACAGTGAAATGCACAGATATCAAGGGTAGAGTTCAAGCCATTGTGACAAATGCACACACCCTTATAACTCACATCCTGATCAAAATAATGGTACACTTCCTTACTCCCAGAAAGTTTTCTCATGCCTCTTCCCAGTCAGTGTCCTGCCCTGTCCCACCTCCACCAGATGAAGTAGTCATTTGGTTTCTATTGTTTGCGTTTTAAATCACAGTTTAATGTGCAGGTTTTTATACAGATAATATTATTTTTAACTCAAAAAAAGTATGCATCTTTTAAGTGAAAAGGCAACCAGGAAATCTTTTTAAATCCTGGAGAGGAAAACAACTGCTCCCATTCGGCATGGTATGAGCCATCACTTGCACATGTGAACATATCATACTCATCTGCAACCACAGTGCTCGTACTGTTTTACGTTCTGCTTTTTGTGACTTTAACAAGGATTCTTCCACATTTCAACAGGTGCTATGCCATAATTTATTATGATTCTATAATATAACAGTTCTATTTTTATGTTATATCCAGTTTGGAGTTATCACAGATTATTTGGCAAAAATTGCCTTCACGTATATATCTGATTGTGCTGAATACTTTTTCCAGGAGAGGGATTAGTAAGTCAAAGAATATGGAAAACCCGATGGTTTCTTACTGAATATTTCTGTATTGCTTTCCTCAGTGTTGTTAGTGATGAGGGACCAGCAGTATACTTATATAGGGCAATGCATGAACACGGGTCCTATACTGATGCTAACAGCTACCGAACGTTATATGTGTGCTGTGTGCCAAGCTCATTGACTCTCTACCAGACAATTTTCATGCCATGTTGCCATATTTAATACAATTTCACACAACCACCCTATCCGGTAGATACCATTATTATCCCCATTTTATAAAAGAGGAAACAGTACAGAATAACTTGGGTAAAGTCCCAAAGTGGTAGAGAATGAAGAGAGCTCATTTGCTAAACCTTTACTCTATTTTGTCTCCTTGGTCACACCTGTCTATTAGAAACATGTCTGTTTCTTGGAAAATCTCTAAAGTGTGCCATTAGAGATTATTTTTGCCAGTTCTTGAATTTCATATAAACGGAGTCATACATTATGTGTTCTTTCTGTTTGCCTTTTTAAACTCAGCATAGTGGTTTTGAAATACATCCATATTGTTGCATGCAGCAGTAGTTTGCTCTTTGATTGCTAAGTAGTATTCTATTGCATGAATATATCACAGTTCACTTATCCCTTCTTCTCTTAAGACAGTTGGACTGTTTCCAGTTTTTGGCCAAATATTTTTGGCCAAAACATTTTGGCCAAACATATTTTGATGAATAAAGCTGCTATAAACATTCTTGTACAAGGTTGTTGGTGGACATATGAGTTCCTTCCTTTTGGATAAATAACTGGGCATTGAGTTACTGGGTCTAGCTGATTTTTGACAGGCAGGAATAGGGACTACTGTGCCCAAGTAATAATGAAACTCTTTCAGATGTATTGTATGATTGAGCAAATGACAAACGTGCTGATGTTGTTAGGGGCCAGGATTTTCACTGTGGAAGAGAAACATACAAATATGGAATGAGGGAGGCAAGAAAGAATCGTGTGAGAATGGACTGGAATAGATGTAAATTTGTGGTTTCTAAGGCATGTGTATATATGTGCATATGTGTATGTAATTGTACATGCATATCTGCATGCATTTATGTGTGTATATACACATGTATTTATGTGTATGTGTATATATACCCATATATTTCCCAGATCTATCTGCCCAGAGAGCTTAGAAGCAATGACACCTGAGAAGGAATGAGTCCACCTACCGCCCAGACTTTGATGTCCAATGTCATTCCCCACTAAAAGGAATGAGAGTTCCTTGGAGAAGCAACTAATTCCAATGTGGGGTCAGGGTAGGTACAAAATGAGCCTGAAATATCTTGTTATACCAGAAAGTAAGGAAGTGTTTAAAAAAATAATAGAAGCATGCCAAAATATGGAGGCCAGCTTGGAGGTGTTCCCCTTGGTTTAGACTGAGACAATTTGAAAAATAAAATAATTGAGAAAAAAATCAAAACTTATAAGCCATTGAAGGAAAAATAAGGACCCATGAATCCATAATGATAATAGAGAGAAAGAGAAGAGTCTTCCTTATAGCAGAATGCCATGGGCTGACCGGTATATGTGGAAGGAATGCTAGAAATGGAAAGTCATCATTTTTCAACTACCACGGTAGTTCAGGCAAGAACTGCCAGTGGATGCTAAATCTAGAGGGAAATTTTGATTAGGAGAAGGATATTAGTTTGGTCTTAAAATATCTCTTCACAGATTGCTCATTAGTTATGAGGAGAAATAATAGTTTAACTATGCAGTGAAAAATTGGGCAACTCCTTGACTGGGTAATCACCCCTGACATCACCAAAGAGGGGCAGAAGAACATGTGTTTTCAAATGTGATACCCTGAGAAGGAACATCACTTATGTAGTTTTTCAGTCCAGAATCCCTATCTGGATCTAATCATGGGGAGATATCAGACAAATTCCAAATGAGGAATGTTCTATCAAAAAAGAGGAGGGTGGTATTGATCGAATTCTTCAAAAATGTCATCGTCATAGAAGACAAAGAAAGGCTCTGTGGAAATTTTCTAGATTAAATTACATTCAAAATATGTGATGACTAAATCCAGTAAAAAAGAGGTTGAAATATAGATGACAAATTAGGTTAGAAGTGTACTGGGATTATGCAAGAGAATATCCTTATTCTTGGGAAATACACACTGAAGTATTTGGAGGTAATAGGCCATAATATATGCAATTTACTTTAAAAAACTGAAAAAAATTATGTGTATTTGTGTGTGTGCATATATATTAGTGAGAGCAACTGACAAAGCAAATGGGGGTAAAACTTAATAGACAAATCTGACTAGAACCTATATGTCTTTTCTTTGTAACAGTTTGGTTCTTGCAACTTTTCTGCAAGTTTAAAGTTATTTCCAAACAACAACAACAAAATTTTTTAAAGCTATACTTGGCAAGTCCTTCTCTGCCCCTGGGCATTTAATCAACACGTGTCTGAGAGGCATCATAACCGAGGTGTGGTTTTTTATTTATTTATTTTTTGGCTCCAGCCAGATAATCCCATAAAAAAGGAGAGTTTTAAAACTGTGGTGCTGGGGTGCCTGGGTGGCTCAGTCGTTAAGCGTCTGCCTTCGGCTCAGGTCATGATCCCAGGGTCCTGGGATCGAGCCCCGCATCGGGCTCCCTGCTCAGCGGGAAGCCTGCTTCTCCTTCTCCCGCTCCCCCTGCTTGTGTTCCCTCTCTCACTGTCTCTCTCTGTCAAATAAATAAATAAAATCTTAAAAAAAAAACCCAAAACTGTGGTGCTATTTTTAGAGATTGTAGTAATACGACTTGCAATAAAATGTATTCCTCAATAAACATAATTGCTCTATTATACAAAAGTCATGAGCAGTTTCTGTTTTTGTAACAGGAAAAGTGGAACTACACTGATAATGAGAAAGACAAAATGATCGTTTCAGCAGGTGCTACATGCTGCTAGATTTGAAAAAGATTTTCAAACAACCAGAAGTGGGGGAGGGAGCTGGAGTTCTGCAGTATTCAAAAAGTCATCTCGGAATATAATTTTGATTCTCAATTCTTCTTGATAGAACCAAAAGTTCTTTTTGAAAGAACATGGGGTGGTAATTAATGTAACATAATAAAAAAAAAGAAAGAAAAAAAGAACATGGGGGCTAAGAGCAATGAGAGTGCCTAGTTCAAATTCCAGTTTGCTGCTTACTAGCTATGTGTCATTGGGCAAGTAACTTAACCTCTCTGTCCCTCAGCTCCTTCATTGTAAAAATGGGGATAATAATAGAACATACCTCAACAAGTTGTGAGGGATAAATAAATTAAAATATGTAATGTCCTTGGCATTGGAAAAGCATTAGAGAAATGTCTTTTGTTATTATTATTTACCTAGTAACATACATGATTTTATTATACGTCAAAATGAAGAGAATTCACAAGATCTCAGAACTGTTGATACTGATTTGCACACAATCCGGCTAAATTTATTAAGAATATTATTTATATAAGCGTAAAAACAACCAAGAAACCTACTTACTAGCACACCACTGCCTGGAAGTAGCAGAGTACTTAGATTTTACCAATAACAGTTTTAGTGTCATGTTGACTGTAATATTTCTAATTATTTACTAAGTCACTCTGGCTTAGCTTTTGGGAATATTTCTTCTAAACTAAGTGGTACCTCTTTAAATATGGTTGCACATTTGAATCATTTGGAAGTTTTAAATATCCCAACACCAAGATTGTACCACAGACCCACTAAGTCATAATCTATGGGTGACGGGTGAGACCCAGGCATCAGTATTTTTCAGGTGATTCCAATGTGTGGCCAGTTTGGGAACCACTGTGCCAAAGTCTTCCAAAGTTAGAAATTTAATGTAGGCTATTATTATGTTGCCATCTATTAAATGGAGTGAAAGGTCATCAAAATCAGGAGTACCAAATGTCCCCAACGTGACACAAAATAACAGTACGTAGTGAAAATACTATGGTAAAATCAACACAGATGTAATCAAGTCTTTTGTTAGGAAAGCAACTGTTTACTTCTTATCTTTATTTCCACCAGAAGGCAACACAATTGGCCATTATCCATGACATATGGAAAAGTGAAGGTTTCAAAATAGCAAAATGTGGAGCAACAGGGAAAACAAAGCTATAAAAT